CGACAACCAAGTTAAACTAAAAGAGAGAACTAAACAGCCTACAGTATTTTTACAGTCTTTATTTTACAGTTAAAATAAATGTTTATCAAATAAAGTCTAATGTTACAACTAATCATGGATCCCTTTAACATGTCAGAGAAAATGATCATATTTCAGTTTTTCCTGATCTTTTACTGACAGAAACAAAGAAAACATTTTGTCTCCAGTCGTCTGCAGGTTTGCTGAAAGAGCAGCGTGTTTGAAAAATCACAAAATATTTCAGTTTTACTCTGTAAATTCTAAAAAAAAAGGGATATAAATTGAGAAATGGGTGAGTTTTCTTTGTTTTCGCAGCAGTTAAAGTTCTCCACTCGGTGGCAGATGGCTGCAGGAGCAGACGGTCTATAATTAAACCCACCCAACCTCAGCACAGCCCCCCTGCTCCTGCTGAGGAGAGCCGAGGCATTCTGTTTGTTTACCTTCAGCTGCTGGTTCAGCAGCTGAAGGTTTGTTTGGACTGGAAACCTCCCCCCAGCCCCCGCAGACACCTGGACAGACACATGTAGACCCCTCTGTTGCTCAGAAACGTCTGACTTTAGGGTTTTGAGGTGATTCCAGACGTAATCAACTGTTTCATCCTCACTGCTGCTTAAATCAGCAAATCAAACATCTGATCTGATGAAAAGCAGCTTTGTATTCTTTCAACTTCAAAGAGATCACCTGTCCCTGAGCTCACCTGTCCCTGTCCCTGAGCTCACCTGTCCCTGAGCTCACCTCTACGAGCATCACACAAAGAAACACTGATTTTAACAGTTTGCACAGAAAATTCTAGTTGTACGACTGATTAAACGTGACAAAAATATTAAGAACCATAACTATGCTGCAGGCTGGTAGCATATACATGCATGGGGGGCCTCATTGGTGGTCCCAGTTAGGGCTGCCACAAACGATTATTTTTATAGTCGATTAATCACCGATTATTTATTCGATTAGTCGACTAATCAGATCATATGTTAACTGAATATAAAACATAGAGCTTATCACGTCAGAATGCAGCTGCTATTATATAACCATGGTTAGATTTTAGCTATAAGCTAACTAAAAATAATTGCTGTGGAAGGTAAGTTCTGCTCTGCAGATATTTCACAGGTTTCTCTTTCATTTTCTTAAAATGATCCCACACTTTGAGC